TGCTGCGTGCTGCTCTCGCTGTGGGAGCCCCTCATCTTGGCCTCAGTTTCCTTATCTGTAAATGGGAGGCTAAAGTGGTAAGCTGGGGCGCTGAGGCATGGGCAAGCAGGCACGTAAGCAGGTGGATGCTATTGGCCACCTACAAGAGGCTCCACCAACGTGAGTCCTCTGGTGTCTCAGTTACTCTCCTCTCGTTGCTGGGACAAATACCCAACACCCAAAATGAAGGAAGGAAAGGTTTATTTAGCTCACAGCTACTGGAGGTTTCAGTCAACACTCAGCTGGCTCCAAGGCAGAGTGGCACATGGCAGAGAGCACCCTCTCATGGCGGGGACAAAGGACAGAGAGCAAACGGGAGGAGGATCGGCAACAATGGCTACAGAGAGCACGTCTGTCTCCCTGAAGTTGCATTCAGCCTATATGCCTCAGGCTGGGTGTAGTGCGCACTCGCATGATCCCAGCAGTATTAAAACCATAATCCCAGCCTTAATCATGAATTAATCTCAGACTCTAGAAGTCCCCACCCCATGACTGCAGGAGGCTTTGGGGGGACAACTAGGCATAAACCATAACATCGGGTGTCCCTAGATCTGTCCTTCTCCCTCCTTAAGGCCCCATAAGTTCACAAGAAGTCTTGATCTGGCTGGAGAGCCTTCTGAAGGCTTGCAATGGAAACCTTGCTTTCCCTAGAAAGTGCTCCCTGCTGCGGTACCCAGCTGTGCGCCATCCTGCCTGGGACAGCACAAGGCTCCCGATGAGAGTGGAAATGGTTTCCCCAGTGGGTGGGATTACATAATTCAAGACAGCCTCCCATGCAAGCCCCCACTTTCTAGGGGGAGTCAGGAGGTCAGGGGTAAGTGGCTGCATACGTTCTTTCCCAGGATGACCTCAGTGTGTCGGTTTGTCGGGGCCACCTGTGCACTATCACCTCAGAATTCTGTGGATATCACTGGACATTTGAATGAAAAATTTGGAAACACTGGTACATCCTTGGAATCAAGCTAATTTTATATTCCTCCTCAAGGTGGGGTATTGGCAGATACCAATAGGAAGAACTTTTATAAAGGAATCATCTTTTGAGAATGCTATCAGTCACTCCAATAAAATCAAAATAATAACCGCCTTGGGAAATGTGGGACAGGAGAAGAACATTGGCTTTGCTTGTAAAAGTTCATGCAAATAAATGCGCTGAGACTTCTCCAGGCTTTCAGCGCAATGCTTCTTGAACTTAATGATTTTCACATCTAATTCAGGGAGAAATTAGTCATTAGATATTAAGACAAAAGCAGCCAGACTCCTGTCTTGACAAGGAATCCCTCCTACAGGCGAAGAATTATCTCTGGAATAATTAAAATGCTTGCTGAAGTATAAAAATATTCCATTAACTGGAGTTGCCTTTGTTGAACAAAGATCTTTCCCCATCCCCAAACAAATGACAATGCAATCAAGGTCAAGAAGATAGAGGCCTAAAGAGACACAGTGGTTCAACTCAAAGCATTTTGGAGCCTGAGACGGACATTTTCAGTTGGAGCATCTTCAGCGGCAATCTAACTTGTGCCTGGTGCAGCGGTTGGGCTACTTGGTTTTCCAGAAGCTGCACCCTAACAAAAAAGATGAGTCTATAATGAAAGGGTGCTAGGGGCTCACTTCCCTGGAGTGTGTCCCTGCTGCCCTGTGTCACTGGCAGTGCTTCCAGAGGCCAGCTCCTTTAATCCCCAAGGAGTACTGCAATGGAGTTCTGTCTTCTTTTTCTGCTGGAGTACATAAGCAGGTAGCACTTTCGGGTTCATTTATTCCAAGGACATCCTGTGATTGTCCAATGACATTCAAACTATTCCCTCTATAGTGTTAAGTTCAGCAGTGCTAGTACAAGAAACCAGTCCTTTGTCACGAGCACGTTATCAAGTCACAGTGGGCCACTCGTTGTAACAGACTGGCCCTCACTCATCAACAGATTCATGATGCCAGACCCTTAGCTTCCAAAGAGATTTTGTGCATTGACTTCATTGTGCCCTCTGTTGACACCCCATGTACTCATCTTCTATATTTGTTAAACAATCCATATTTTTAAACACTACACAGTCAACAGTCCTCTAAATATTTGTATAATACTTAAAAATAATACAGTTTTAACAACGAACAGTTTAACATTTAAACTCACATTTTTAAAAGTAAACACTTCTGGGCATTTGTTTGAAATGATATTTCTAAAAAGCCAGATTGTCATAAATGTTTAATACCCTGTAAAGGAGAGACAAATCACACAGAAAGACCAGTGGGCTTAAAGTAAGTCAGGTTACAAGTGTATGAAAACCAGGGATCGAAAGTTGTTTACCCTCTTTATTCTTATTCAGATCCTCTTTAGCTTTGGTTTCATTATTATTTGTGCATTTACTTAATCCCAGCATCTTCTTCCCAAGGCTGTGGTAGATCCACCCCAGGACAGCCGAGGCAACACGGCTGGTGAAGGTGCAGCTGCGGCTCAGCTGGGATGTGGGAGTTCGTTGCCCAGTTCGTGTCTTGTGCATCCACTTATCCCGCTTAGCCTATTTCCGTGGCTAGATTCCTTTCCTTATGTCAAAGAACCTTACCTCCCTATGCATTATTGAGATTTTCATTTTTGAAACCTGGTATCTTTCCCAGAGATGATACATTTTAAGTTTTGTGTATCTGCCAGTTCCTGGTCCATTGTTCTGTCAGTGTGATTTATTGAGCTTGTCTGTTAACATTATTAAAAACTTATGTATCTTCTATTATTATTTTATTCTAATTAGTTGGGCCATTTAGAGGTTCCATCTCCTAGGAGATGCGATTGAGCCTGGGTAATGAGCTTTCTCCTTTAGGACGGCTGGCTAATTCATCACCTTGGAATGTGGAGCTCGTCTACCTGCCCACCTGTTTATTTGGAACGGATTCATTTTTCTAAGACTTGATACAGAACCTTTCTCACCTGAAAGGCTGGGTCTAATGTCTCCCACCTACAGAAGTAAAAATGAGGGCACCACATGCCTAGTCTCCTCCATCATCATGGTTTTAGTGGAACAAAGGTATCCTAACTTTAGCCACTGGGTCGCTACCTTTACAACTTTTACCTTACTTCCACACTACCTGTGCTATGATTTGTTATTATTTACACCATACTTTATATCTGTTTACTTGTTGAAACCTAGAATGATCATGGGCCATAATGTATGATATATCAGCTACCTCCCAGCTTACATTTTTGTAAATATAGTCGGTACTCTGTGTGCAGAGGCTACTGCAGCCACAGGTCCAACCTCAGCCCATCCACAGTTGGCTGGACTGAAAATACTTGATAAAAAACTGCATCTATACTGAACATGTATAGACTTTTTTCCTTTTTGTTCTCTAGACAATATAATACAGAAACTACTACTTACGTAGCTTTTATGTTGCATTTTACAACGTAAGTAATCTAGAGATGGTTTAAAGCACACGAGAGAATATGCATGAGCTACCTGTAAATCTGATAGTATTTTATATTAGGAACTTGAGCATGCGTTGATTTGGGTACCCAAGGGGGGCACTGTTCTAGATACAGAGGGGTAACTCCACCTTAAAATAAAGGCATGCGTGTAGGCGTGACAAGGTTGTCCTTGTACAATCCAAGCTCTCCTGTGGCCCACCCAGACACATCCTACACTGTCACTGAGAAGCTGAAGACGGGTGTGCCAAGGATTCTAACTGGTAGAAATATCAGTTTGTGTGCTGGTTTGTAACAGATCTTTTTCTAACCTCATTTTTAAAAGTACATGTGTAACAGGAAGTGTTAGTGGCTTAAGAAAGCATAAACTTTAAGAAAACTGGAATCTGTTAAGTGTGAGCAAGTCAACACCCTTGCTCTCTGGCTCTGTTGGTATCTGAAGCCCTGAATCCTTTCTCCAGAGCTCTGGGCCTGGGGCTGGGGTGGGATGGGAGCACTACCTTGAGGCTGGACTGGGGGGTGAGGAGGGGCTGTAGGAAAAGCAGTACTGTAGACAGGAGCCCCAGGCACAAGTCGTGTGTGGGGAGGAGCTGAGCTTGGAGGGAGAAACCACAGGAGCCAGCAGGGCCGGGCAGAAGAGAGGGGTGCAGTTGGGAGCAAGATCGGGTCAGTGAGGGCAGACAGGGAACCAGGGCAAATGGGCGGGTTGCAGCCACAGTGGGGCTTGGAGCATTATTTTCACTGGCTTCCATGCAGGGGATGACTTAGCAACA